TACATCCAGCCATAACTACACTAAGCAACAGCCTGCTGGAGGAGTTAGGGGAAGACACAGTAATAGAAAACAAGAAATGACCCAACTGAATTAACCTAATATTACAAGGGGGAACAGATTTGAGTTCTGCACTATTTTATCCTATTGGTTATTGATATTTAGAGGAATCGGCTGTCTGGTCTTTGATGCTATGAGGGTCGGGATTAATACTTGAAATTCACAGGGAAGGAGACTAGGTCACAGAATTCAGAACTTGCTTTCAAGTAAGTGGGGTTGAGCAGCCCCGAATTCTCATCCTGCCTCCACTGCGGTGTCAGTCTTGCCTGTGCCTGACCTGAGTTATGGTCCAAGGTGAAGATGTCCCAACCTTGACCCCTCCCTTCTGTCACCGCCACAAACCCAGCTCCCCGATCCACCTGCCCAAGGTTTCTGGGTCTGAGGTGTTACCCTCATGTTCCTATCAAGGTTCCCAGGGGCTCTAACTCTTTGGGACTGTGCCCAGATGTCACTCCCTTGCCATGTTTAGTTTCTCCCTCAACAAGATCTGCAATCTCCCTCTTATAGTCAAAGATTTTCTGGCTGTCACCTCTGTAGTGCCACACCCTTACAGACCTATCAAACTCCCATCGTGTTACTTGGAAGGCCCCTGGTTCTTGTCTCCTGCCCTGCCGCAGTAGGATGCACCAGGAAGTGAGTTTGTCCCTCAGTGTCAAGAAGTGTGAGTTGGTTCAACCCTTACCCTAAGAGAGGGGAAAGCCCAGAGTCGGTTAAGAAGAAAAAGAATCAAGAGAAAGAAAAATTGAAGGTGGACGTTGAACGGGTCACCAAAAATCACCTGTCCTAGCTGATGCTTTGTAATTAACCATCCTTTTGGTATAACAGCACGTGTGCTAACATGGCATGAAATCTGTTTTCAGATTAAAATGAAAACTCATGGATGAAATTTTTGCAATTGCCACCTTTTGTAAAGGAGCTTTCCTCATGCACCAGAGTCCATACGTGCTTTACAGCCCTCACACGTACACACTCTGGGGCTCCTGCCATTGGTGCACAAAGACACATTTATAGAATATTCATGGATATATCTCTATGCGGCCTCTGTGCTTTCATTCTTGTCAAACACATAGTAAATGTTTTTATTTCAGTCTGCAATGCACAGGGCTTTTCTCAGAACGTAAATTTTCTGCCATTTTATCTTTAAATAATAATTGAGCTTTTCTCTTCCTCAGGAATAGCTACAAATCTCACTTTGATTTCTCTTCTTTGCCTTCCATTTTGTAATCTCATCCTGTTTTCCTTTCTCCATTCTTTGCTGTTATATTTTAAGAGATCTTCTCCATCTCTGTCCTTTCCACATCGACGATGACATTTTCTGCAATGTTTATTCTGCACTTTACTACCTCCAGTATGGGTTTTGGTACCATTGTTACATTTCCAGGTTACTTGCCATCCTTCCTTCTCTCCCCACACGTCTTTAGACTTTCTACTGCCGCCCCAGACTGAAAACTATCAGGAGGCTTAAATGAGAAAAGTGCCCTTGTTTTAATAGGTGCTGAAAACATCATTAGACAATGAGGTAGCTTGATACAATAGAGAACTCAGCCGGTTTGGGTCCTGGCTACACCATTAACTGTTAATAGCTGAGTGGAATCAAAGAAAAAATTAATTGCTAAGCCTGTCTGAGCGTTAGCTTGTTCATTTCTAAGACAGGAGTTACTAACGTCCTCTGGGTTCTGAGGATTAGAAATCTATTAAGTGCCTGGCATAGAGAAAGTACCCCATAAATGGTAATTAAAAGGATTCCTAGAGAATCAGGGGTTTAACAAAGCCACGATCTGTGCACTCCAGGCTTCCTTTATCAACTCAGTTCATGTGTATCCAAGGGGTTGCATATCCGAATGGCCCATGTCCTAGACTTTCTAGGGTGAATTTTAAAGGGGAAAGGGAAACTTTTCAAGAGTAAGGATTATAATGATGAATGATGCAGTATGGTAGCCAGTTGACCTGCAGAGAAACAGCTCGTTCAGTTTGGATTTGAACTGGCACAGAGAGGGGGGCATTTGCTCGTGTCCGATTTTCACAACTCCCAAGCTGGCAGGAAACAGCTTTTATCCTCAAATTGGCCATTGGCAAACTGGCTCGTTTTCCCTGGAATTTCTGATCACAAATCTTCACCTATTTGCCCCCCTTTTGACCAGAAGACTTACTGCAAACCCAGCTCCCTCTGGGATTAGCACCACCTGTCTCCCAAACAAGTCAGGCAGAGGCAATGTTGAGACAAACTGCCAGAGAGGGGCAAGCCCCCCAGGCTTGTCAGTCTGAATCAGCTTTTGCTTCCCCTCAATTGGAAAGATATCCCTCAAGGACATCTTCCCACCAATGGAGTCAAGATTGCAGTAACCATACAGAATGGCAAATGCCTTACCTTTGGGGGTGCTCTCCCGGCGGCATGGCAGGGCTCTAGAGAAGCTTCCCACCCGCGCCACTCCCCGCTGTTCCTGGCAGCCCCACACGCTATGGGCGTGACGTTCACATGGCTCTGTTTGAGGCTAATAACTGGAAAAAAGATGAAGCAGTTATACTTTTCCTTTAGCCTTTCTTTCAGCTTTTTTTTTTTTTTTTATTTCTTACTCATTTTTAGCCTTTTCATGTGGGATTTAATATCCTAGCAGGCCAGGTGATGTTTATTGTTGGCGTTTTTTAAGCCCTTGGGGTTAGAGGGTGGGTTGGTCGGGGGGGTAGAAGCTTGGGGGTAGGGGCACAGTGGAGGAGGGAGGAGGTGCCTGGCAGTGCTGCACTTCCCTTACTCAAGCTAAGGTGTCTGACTCTCAGGTTGATGAAGAATAAATCCAGCTCACCAAATGTCCTGTGCCAGGTTGAAGGACACTTGGTGCATCCTGGGCAGAGGTTGCTGTGGGTGGCCTGGCCCTCCCTGGAACTCTGGGGTGACCGTGGAAGCTGGAGTTGGGCCCTGGAGGAGCACAGCCAGGCTTCTCTCCCCAGGGCAAGGCTCACCCACCCCAGGCTGTAACCCTCCCCACGGCCAACTTCCCCCCTTACCGTTCTATCCATCTACCTGCTAGAACAGCAAAGCCCGACACAGCCGAGGGACACTGGGCTCGACGACTGCAGAGGGCACGTTCAAAGGATCAGTAACGCAGAGTTTGAAAGGCACCTCTAATGACAGGAAAGAACAGATTCCGTGTGTTGAAAAAAACCACCAGCAACCCTTCGCCGCACCCCAACCAACTGGCACACTCCCCATAGTTTTTGGCAGCAACAGCAAAGCACTGAGCCCTGCCAGGAGAAACAGCTTTGAATTAAAATATAAAGCTAATCGGAATATGGATCACACAAAGCTGCCAGTTATTTGATGTGTGTTGGGAGTAAAACACCCCAGCCTCGCAAAGGAACTGCCCAAGGTCATTATGTCTAATCAGCAGTTCTCAGAAACATTATCAAGTCTTTTTATTTAAAAGTATTCCCACCTGCTGTCCCCTCCTACTCAAGACAGTCTTTAAATGTAACGTCTCGGGGCTCCAACCCCACGTGGAGCCCTACCACCACCGGTAGTTAATTACACAGAGGCTGGAGGGAGGCGGTCGGGTTGATTAACTGTTCCTGGATCACTGTGTTAAACAGTTTCTATTCCTTGTTAGGGGATTTCTCGGTGGGGGGGGGAGGGGGGTGGAGCTGGAAAGTAGAGAAACAATGGGAAACTGAGGAACAAGAGGACAGGCTCTGGACTCACTCCGGTCCAAAGCTCTTTGCCCCAGACTTTCAAGCCCATCTGGAACTGGCCACATGGTGGGAGACGCCACCTGAGATCTGGAGCCAGCCACTTGCTGGCCAGACCTCTGCACAAGTTCCTTAATGCCTCTGAGCCTCAGTTCTGCACGCAGAAAATGGAAGTAATGATATTACCTACCTTAGAAGGTTGACGTTCTGAACATGAGGTTCCCTCACTGGGCTGTGCTCCTTCCTTCAAAAATCTCTAACGCCTCCCAACTGCCTGGGGGACCACCAACTCCAATGGCTGAGATTGGAATTTAAGGTAGAAATTATCCATTATATTTCACAGTCCTAATAACCTTCTCCTTCAGATAGAGTTTTCAGAATGACAAAAGCAAAGGACAACAGTGTATATGATGGTTTCATAACTTCGACTGTATGGCCCATAATGGCCCTCTGATTTTATCCAAGCAGCCCTGGGCACACCGAGACGCTTAACAGACACTGCCGGCTACACAGTCGTAAATGAGGATGTGTGTGTCAAATACTGATAGCTGGACACAGACACCTGCTATGTGCCTCACATGTCCTAGGTACTTCACACACATGAACTCATTTAATCTTTACAACAATTGTATGATATAGAAGTGACTGCATTTATCACCCTGAATGAGGAAACTAAGATACACAGACATTGAGTGACTCCTTTAAGATCATACAAGTTGCAAGTGAAAGAACTGGAATTTGAACCCAGGTTGTCTGGCTGTAGAAACCACATTAGCTACCACATTGTACTACCGAACCCTGATAAGATTTATTTAACAATGCGACAGGGCAGGCAAGGCCCGATTTGTAATGTTTGCCAATTTCTGTGGTGTAAATATTCCCACCCTGGTTGATTTCAAGTTACCAACCTGAGTGAGGATTAAGCAGTACTGAGAATCGTCTCCCAGGAGGCTACAGTAGAACACTACTGCTGGGAGGAAAACCCTGTATATTAGAGACTCCAGCTTAGTAAGATGACCTGTGCTGGTTACTGGGCAATTTATAGGAACAGAGAGAGTATGCAGAGTTGGAAGGGGCCTTAGCCAAGCCCAAGACTCGGTGCTTCCTGGATACATCCTGAAATACATAGGACAGCCTTCCATAGCAGAGTCATCCAGCCCAAAATGTCAGTAGTGCCAAGGTTGAGAAACCCTAGTCTATGCACAAAATACTCTTTTTCAAAAGCTGAAAACATGCCATTCTTACTCCAAGAAGAAATCATATCCACAAATCATATTTTATTAGCTGTGTAATACCACCTTCCATTCAGGGCCTGTGTTTTAATTAAGTTTTATGAATTACCAGTACAAATCAATACAATGCATTTTTTTAATACACCAACAGCTTGAATGTTCTTGAAGCTTTTAAACAATGAGTTTAGTGTGGGCAAACAGAAGGCAAGGAATCAGAGAGATAATTAGCTCATGCATCCGGTGCCGGCTAATAAATAATTTTCACATGAATGTAGAAACCGCTCTGTGTTAACTGTATTTTTAAAAAATACTTTGAAACTGTAATAAAATGCAATTATCAGAAGCATCTTGGTGATTGAGTAGAAGAACTGCTTAATTTAAAAAATAATTCAGTTACTTCCACCTAGCCCGGGGTGGATGAACATGTAGCAAAAACTTCCATCCCACTAGACTCTGGCAGAAGAATTGATCTTTCATAAAATAAATTTTTCTGCATTTCTTCATATGGAAGCCAGAAGCCAGGAAGAGCACCCTGCTTTGAAAAGAGATTGTTTGGTTCACACAGTATACTTTGGTTTGTTTGAACAGGTAAGAAAGCGGTCCCCATTTCTAAGGAGAAAATGGGTTTTCTGACTTTTAAATACATCACGATATCACCGGTCTAAAATGAGTTTCCTTTTCTGGTAAAGTGAAAAGGGTCTTTTTCTTTTCCTCCAGCGTTCAGCTGCCCCTCTCCAGAAACAGTCTTCGGATAAAGCATCCGTGTGTCAACCCATAGTTCCAAACCATGCCTTCCGTGTGTCTCCAGGTCTGCATTTGGTACCCGACAGGATCAGCATTTGGCACGCCCTTGGATATGGTATCAACCTGATGCTCTGAACTGAAAGTGTTCATAATGCATCTAAAAGTATCTTCTTAAAAAATATAAAAATGTATGAGAACTTGTGCTCTGTTGTAAGGCTTGCAGATTGCTAATTAATTAAGCAGACTATAACTCACAAGCCAAAAAAAAAAGTGCATTTTTAAATAAACTGGAGATGGTTAAAACAACAATGAAAAAGATGAGATTATTTTTCACTGATCTTGGGAGAAAATGACACGGTATGTATAGTTTTTTTCCTGATCCATTTGACTTTGTTTAATATGCTCACGAGGATTGTGACGAGTGTGTCTCCTCTTCCGCCCTCTGATATTTTAGCATTCCTAGAAACTAGAGCCCTACTTGAGATGACCCTTTATAAGAGGAGCAATGTGCTTGCCTTTCATGCTAATGAACTTTGTACAAAACTGGTCTTAATTCACGAACATCTCAACGAGCACAGAAAACAATAGCTCTCGTTTTGTTGTAAACCCAAGCAAAGCCTCCACACCATCAGGCTTATAATCTCACAAACATTCTGCCTTTGTCAGACGCTTCATAGGGCGCAACTGGGCTACTTTTGCAGGCAAAGTGGAGATTTTGATTTCTGTTGCATAAAGCCAACCAGAGAGAAATCGGAGGCTCTCTCCTCTCGGTCTTTTACTAATCAAATTCTTTTCTCGCCCTTTTTGGAAGTCTTTTCCTTGTCGCAGCCTCTTGTTTCGTGATTGCAAAAGCAAAAAAGAGTTCAAACGTCTCCCCAGATCCATCCCTGGGAGTTCATGTCTTTTTGCTACTTGTCTTCTGTTTCTGTTTGCGAAGGTGAGCCTCTATCTCGTGCCTGAAGACCAGCATCCCCAGCTGCCCGTGCGACGCCTCGTTCATGGCCTTGGACTGCATGCACATCTTGTACTGCTCGGGGGTCAGCTCGTCCACACAGCGCTTCTCGTGCCACAGGTGGAAGAGTCCCCGCACGGGCGTCCGCACCACTATGAGGTTGCTGTGGAGATACTTGCGGTACAGGTGGACGTCCTCTCCGCCCCAGCCTTTGATGTCCAAGTCAAACCCACCTGTCAGAGAGAACACACTGTTGAGTCCTGCTGCCCAGGCCCCTCCTGTTCTGCATTTGCCTCTCCCAGCTGCACAACCACAGAACTTTTCTCGAAGAGACATTCGGGGGACACGTGTGCTTCTCTGCCTCTCCAAGTTACCAGAGTGGCTGTCTAGGCCCAGAGGCCCTGGAATTCCCAGAGATGACCTTCGGGGCAGACAACACCAACTACTTGAGATAACAAGACCTTAAACAAAATCCCAAGCATTTGCCTGCTTCGAAGAGCCACCAGCAATGCGAATGAATAGCCCTAGCCTCCCAGGAAGAGCTCAGCGGCATCCGTACTTTTTAACTTGAAACCGCCCAATGCAGATTCTTGTGTTTCTGTTTGGATGTGGCCTCCACCTGCCTTTGCAGAAACCTGGGACTTGCAGTGTGACGGAGGGAAGAGGATCTCAGGGTGAACAAGTCACGTCCCCCCGAAGCCCTCTTCCTATCACAGACCCAAGTGGTCCTGAAGAGCTGTGATTTCGCCACCGGTTTGTGAAATCAGTTATTTTAAAGGGATTGGCCTCAGAGTCAGTTCTGATGTTCTACTAAAAAAAAAAATAATAATAATAATCTCGTTTGCCTTTATAATAAACTCCTTCACAAAGTCAGTTGTGGCCTGCTGAAGTCTCGCCTTTATAAACTGAGATGCCCTACGCCTTTTCTTAACTTTAGGCCTACTGGGTCCCAGATGGAACCAAAGCAGCACTGGCCCCTTTTGGTCCTTGTTCTTTCTTATCCAGGAAATTTATTTCACTCTTACAAGAAACAGTGAAGTGATTCTCAACATCTTTTCTCAGACATCCTCATGCAGCCTGTTTATTCCTTGCACACCCCAAGCTGCGCTGCTCTGATTGGCGCCATCATTAGAACCTAAGAGGGGGTTCAAGGCCCAGGGAAAACCACAGCCAACCAGCCCCTGGGCTGTTGATATGAGTGACTGTGACCCCTCCACGGTGAGCAAAGAAACGTATATGATTATGAGTCAGGGGTCCAGAATTTGTGTCCTAGTTCTCTTAGAACCTGACACTTAAATGCTCTTGAATTTTAGTTTTTTTCCTGCTTAAATGAAGTAGGTATCCTAACCAAATAAGTTCGGGGCAGTGCTTGGTTAACTGTAATTGATTCATTATCATTTTAACTTGTTAAATACAAGGGTCACAAGTAAGATACTTGCAAAAAGTACAAGACTGCAAAGAATGGGTCAAAATGTGCCCCCGGGGTTCTGAGGTCATGGCAATGGGTCGCTGAGGACGAGCACCCTTCCCTTCCTGCTGTGCCCACTTTGTCACTGACAGCTATATCCATATTTAGGAGAATCCAATATGTTATAAATACAAATTGGAAAAACATTCAATCGCAAAATCATCTTTCCCCGTACCAAGGGCAAAGAAACAGTTTCTTGAAATGGAAATCTGTAGAAAATTTTCAGAAATGTTATTTTGGAAAATTTGACTTGCACATAATCATTTAGGAATACTCCTCTTAGAGAAGGCAAAGAACTCCTGCCATTAGCTGCTGGGTGCCTGCAGAGCACCCACCACCCAGAGACCGGCCCCTGGGTGCTCCGCTGCTTGTAAGGGGACTTGACTTCCAGTTGTTTGATTTTCTTTCTCTTTTTAACCCAGTGATGTCTTTGAGGGCTCTCTAGTCCCCAGAGTCCGCGTCATTTCTGAACAAGACAAACCTGGGGCCGCTCCTCCTCCCTGATTTTAAAACGAGCAGCTTTCGGACTTGGGTCCAGGTGGGAGTAGCCTGGGAGACAGCGAAGGTGGCAGCGCCTGGGGACCTGGGCATGGGAAGCCCCGGGCTGCCCCGGCTCCACCCGAGCCCTGTTCGTTCACACCCCAGCCCCCCCGTAACCCACAGTCCGCTCCCTTCAGAGGCACATGAGTAAGCATTGCCACGGGGACGGGGTGTGGGTATCCGAGGGGGACAGGAGACCTCGGTTCTCGTCCCAACTCTGCCCCTCACGTGCTGTGAGGCCTGGGGAGGTCCCTTCGCCTTTGAAAGGCTCGGTCCCCATCTGCGACCTAAGGGCCTTTCCTTCTCCGTACTCTGGAAACCCGCAGGTGTGTGCACATGCACATATGTGTGTACTGACAGCAACCGCACGCTCAGGTCTTGAAGTGACATCTGGAGTTTTGTGTTTCCCCCAATTCCCAGTGTTTCCCTTTGACCCTTCCTGGGAGGCTCAGTGGCCAGAACCCGGCTGGAAGGAGGCCCCGGAGAACTCGCTGCAGAACTGCCTTTATGGGACAAGTGGCCTTTTTATCCCAGATTGCGTGTCTTGTTTGGGGTGACCGAGAGGTGCTGGTGAAGATTACAGGGGCTAAAGTGCTGCCCCTCCCAACTGCCCAGATCCCCTCGGTCCAGCCCTGAGCCCATGACCTCTGGAATGGCACTTTAATTATTATTATTTTAAAGGAAATGGCACCACCTTTACCACCAGACTCTTTGGAAATCTGCTCGGTTCCTGCAAGGGCCACACAGGCCGGCGGCCTCTGGGTGGCAGCAGAGATGCAGAGTTGTCTCACCTATGTTGATGAAGTCCGACCGATACTGACATGTCATCCCAAATCCAAAGTCTCTCCAAAATCCAGTTTCTTTCTTTATGACCTGCAAGGAGAGCACTGTCACGTAAGGGGGAAGGACAGAGTGGACAAAAGCAGAGAGTGTGTGCACACTCAGGTGAGCAAAAAACACGGAGCCGGTCCCGTCGCCGCTGAATAGCCACAACCACGTAGGGGACATGCAGACGGACACAGCTCCTTATGCACGGGAACACAGTAACGCACCGGTCCCCACATGGGGCCTTGTGATTTCTGGCACCTCTGGCTGGAATGTTTCTAGGGTGTAGGCATGAACACACACACACACACGCACACGCATCGCCAAAAACAAACCGGGAGAGCGAGTTTTTGAGCAGTGCCATGGAAAAGCCACCTACGTGTCTGGCCCCACACCGGTGCCAGGGAGAACTGGAGGAGGCCTGGGCCTCTCGCACAGGCCCAGGCAGGGGGCCAGCAAAGGGCTCAGGAAGTTGAGAAAAGGGCTCGAGGACAACTCGGAATTCAGCTGCCCTGGCACGGTGCACACACGGGACTCCCTCGGGGAATCAAGAGACACGGGAGACACTTCGGCATGTCACCAGCCCTCCTGCTCTGCCCTCACTTGCTGAGGAAGCGGCCCGAAAAGTCTAGGTTCTGAAGAAAGACTGTCCTTCACCCTGACATTATTTAAAACCCGAACTGCTCCCAACAGCATCTGCGGCGGTGCCAGCCTGCAGGGCTGCGGAGAGGCCGTCCAGACGGTGCTCAGCCTCTGCCTCTGTAAGTCCGTCTCCAATCTATCTGCTGAAGCCGCCTGTCAAACGTTTTATTTATACACCTATTTTGTGGCCGAGGTAACTCTGGGTTTGAGATCTCAATAGTTATCTTTCGTGATTCATTCTTGTTGTTAACACAGGTGCTTAGACAAAAGGACATTCCCTCCCCCCTGGGGAAGGGGGGTGTTTCAGCAGGTCCCCATTCCCTCGGATGTCTGTGTCTTCTGTCTGGGACACCTCGCTCTGCACCCCACTAATTAGAACCAGCATGTGAGGGGGCAGGAGCACCGGAGTCTTATCCCAACTTGACCACTGGCTTTTTCGCCTTCCCTTCTTCGAGCCTCTATTTTCTTTCCTGTAAAATGGGTTGAGCGAACTCGCTCCTAATCCAGCTCTCACATCCAAACATTTATCGTATCATTTACTCCACCTTCCTGAAGTTTCACCACAGGCTAATTATGTTTGACAAATGGCTCACAGAAGGCTTAATGAATCTTAAACATTCTCTTACTCTGTAACCTATGAAACCTCCCTGTAGACGTCGCTTACACTACTGTTCACTCCCATCAAAAGTGCCTAAGGAAAACACGGACTGAGAGGTTCAGTCGGTTACAGCTGTCCCCAGCAGATGTTCGCCAATTCTACTTCAGAGCAAAGGACTGTTATACGGTATCTCCCAAATGACAAGATAATTTCATCAGTATCCACTAGAAAGACGGCAAGGCAAGAAAGTCTGAAAAAGTCTCTACCGAATCATTTTTTAAAAGTGGATTTTGTTCCATCCCTGTCTCACCAGGTACACCGTTTCTGTCGCAGAGAATGGCTCAATATCCCTGCTGCCGGCCAGGACCCCGGCAAGTTCCCCAAGCTTCTGGATCAAAATGGAGTCAAGGAGAAGCACCAGCATCCAAACTTCAAATATTTGGCTGAAGTATATGTGGAATTTTAAAAAGAATGCTCCAAACAGGAAAAATAACCTGCCAGGGCTTGGGAAGGAAGACAAGAGGGATGGCAAGACGCAGCTGTCCCAAGACTCTGCACTGAGACAACATAGCGTCTGACAAGGCTGGGCAAGGTGAAGGGTGACCCTCACCTGGAACGGTGCGACAATCTGATTTACCAGCTGGGGAGTGAGCTATAGAAACACTTATTAAAGTCAGTTTCAAAGTTGGCAAGCCGCAAAAAGCCACAATCTGAAGAGCTCATTGAAATTTAGCCCTTTGTGGAAACTGACTGGGTTATGCCCACAGTGTATCGTTTCAGGGCAAGATGGAGTTCACGTCTCAGAGGTTGCACTGCCCACAGCCGTGCTGAGTTGCTGCAGTGTTAGGATATACATTCTGGTTTTCGTCCATGGTTCCTGGCTCATAACTCCGTAGCCCTTGTTATAATGTTGGGGCCTTTCAGGCCTCAGGGAACAGAATCTTTCTCCTGCTCCAGGCAGGACTCTACTCTGATTGTGGGTCAAGAGACCCTTATTCCAGAGAGGGTTCTGCCCCATGCCCTGGAGGAAGGAACACTGCACAGAAAGGCCAGGAAGAATCCAAGCAGACAGGCCTTGCTGGGTTGAGATCAAGCGCTTTTCGTCCAATCATGTTTCAACGCAGTTGTTCATGCTTCAGTCATGGGAAACCAATGAAGTCTCCATAAAAGGACCAAAGGGCAGGGTCCGGAGAGCTTCCGGACAGCAGGACACACAGAGGTAAACAGGAAAGTGAACACCCCAACTCCATGGGGGCAGAAGCTCCCGAGCTTGGGACCCTTCCAGACCTCACCCTACGTATCTCTCCATCGGGCTGCTTTTCTGTGTCCTTTGTAATAAACCGGTAAACATTTCCCTGAGTTTTGTGAGCCGCTCTAGCAAATTAACCAAACCCAAAGAGGGAGTCACAGAAACCCCAATTTGAAGCCAGTCGGTCAGAAGTTCTAGAGGCCTGGACTAGTGACTAGTGGAAACGATGGGTCAGTCTTGGGGACTGAGCCCTCAACCTGTGGGACCTGACACTATCTCTGGGTAGACAGTGTTGGAACTGAGTTAGAGAACACCCAGCTGGCGTCCGCTGCTTGGTGTGTGGGGGGAAAGCCCCACATTTGGTCACAGAAGCCTTCTTCTGTTGTGGAGGTTAGAGAAGAGCATGGTTTGAGGAGTGTTTTTCCAACAGGAGGAGGAACGGTGCCCTCGGCGGGCAGCCTGGCGGGAGAGCGTGTTCAAGCGTACATCTGAGCACGTCACCTTCCCATTGGAAACCCTCAATGCGGTTCCAAGAAAACCCACAAGGAAGCCTCATTGCCCTACACGACCCGGCCCCACCTGCAGCAGCCATCTCATCTCCGCTCGTTGCTCTGCCCTGTACGCAGCCCTGCCTCTGCCCCTCTGGTCCCCCCTGCCTGGGTCACCCTTCCCCTGCTCACTACTCAGCTCTGCTCCAATGTCACTTGCTCAGAGTGGTCGCCCTGACCCTCCCGGCCAGTGTCAGTGCACCCGCTACCCCAGTGTCACTCTCCACACCATCACCCTGGTTTATTTTCTCTGCAACAATGATGGCTCTCTGAAATGATTCCGTGGATGCGTTTGTTCCCCTGTTCGCTGTCTTCACCCACCACCACTGGCGAACGTAAGCTCAGGACCCGGTGTCGTCCACAGCAACCAGCACCCTGCCCAGCAAACAGCAGGCACTCAATACACGCACCCTCAGTGAATGAGCAGGAAGCAGTCCCAGGGCAGAGATGGTTCCAAGCCAGTAGAAACAGACACGTTTCAAGAAGACGCTTATCAGCGAGTGGCCCAGCAAAGGCCCGGGAAGCCCAGTGGTATCGACTCTCAGAATTAAGTGACTCTGGCCCAACAGACAAAAATGTTTTCACCTTCCTGGGGTCTGAGGCAGAGCGCCTGACTTCTTAGAAACTTTGCCCCAGGCGTAAGGAGCTCCACCGCTCTGTTCGAGCACTGAAAAGACAGACACCAATGACGTCTGCCACGACAGAGGAAGAAGAAACCCCACAGTAAGGTTATACTTTAAAAGAAAAGCATCTCTTCCTCCTGTCCTAGATTTCACCGATCTGTTTGCAAGCTCTACTCTCATTTCTTAAAAATGTCTTGATCGCTGGCTTCCCCTCAACTCTCTCTGCAGCATCTTTCTGTCCCCACCTGAGATCTCAGCAGAGCCCTGCAGGGCACGAATGCACCACAAAAGGACAGTTGTCAGGCCTGCTCTCCCACAGGAAGTTTCCAGAGCCCCAGCTCTGTGGGCGACTCACGTGACAGGGGTGATTATTTTCTATTAGGACCCAAACACAAAGCACAAATCAGCATCTCCCCCCGAAGATGTGGGCAGGCGGCCGCTCTGCAGCTGCGTGGGGAGCTGGGGCGGCCTTCAGCGCCTGTCTGGTTTCACGGTGCCGACTTGGACGGCTGCCCGTGCAGCAATCTGGACCCGAAAATAAAATAAATAACAAACACTCTGCCTGAGTATCTCCTCTAAATCAAAGAGAGTCTCCCAAGAACGGAGGCTGCATCTGGCCAGCCTGTGAGCAGGGCTGGTTTATGGGCGCGCGACCCCCGCAGTAGCACAGGGCCCCACGTACCGAAGGCCTCATGCTTGCTGTCGTCGTCCTGAAATTCTAATACTTTTTGAACAAGGGCCCGCATTTTCATTTTGCCCTGGGCCATGCCAATTGTGTAGCAGGTCCGGCCCCGCGAATAGCCGATACCCTGAGCTGCGAAGGCTTCCGTGTCTGGGTTGGGTGCCCTCCGCCCCTGTGCTGTACGTTCCTTATCATCTGGGTCCTCAGAGCTTAGGAGTCACACTGTGTGAGATTCCAGGAGGGCTGCGTGTCCTCGTCTTGTGACCTCTTGGTATGGAGATAGAACGACTTGCCCAAGATCACTCGGCCACTTGTAGCTGAGCACAGACCAACCCTAGGATTGCTGTGACGGTTCCATTTCTTGAGAAATGATATATTGTAGAGCCATAGCTTTCAAAGAATTTAAGAATGAACTCAAATGCCATCTCCTCCCAGATTTTTACTGACTTGCATTTTTTCTACAAGTCTGCTTTTATCAGTATTGGCATAAAATCATTGTGTCTTCTAAGGGTACCATGCTGGACAAGGAAGCATTCAGAATCTCTCATTCCCAGGAACCTGTCATCTTAGACTCACTGCCCTCCTTGAAGCACTTTGAGGGCAAAGGATGTGCTCCCTGCTCTTCAGCATCCTCAGCCCTGGCTCAGTCGTGCAGCATGGCACTGGGGTCCCACCTCTGCCACTCAGCCTCCGTGGGAGTCTGAGCAAGTGACTTAACCCTCCTAGACCCTCAAATTCCTCACCTGTGAGATGAGAATAGTTCCTCTCCACCTTACTGAGTGTCGCATGAGACAGTGCAGGCACAGTGCTGGCTCATGGAAAGGCTCCTGTTATTAATTTTGATATTAATTTTGGTATACTATGTGCACACCGAACACAGGAACATGAAGTCATCAGAGTTAACTGCCGGGACCACACAGCAGACTGATGTCCACATCAGACACCGCGGACATTAGAAATGGCGAGGAGGTGGCCCTGAGGTGGACTGACAGCCCCAGCAGACTCTGAGCAGGTGTGCTCACCTGGCGGTGGGGCTGGCTTGGGTGTCTACAAAGCTGGTACCGTGTGCCAGGTATCTTTTCCTTAATCACTTTGAGAGTCAGTCTGCTGAGGATAATGAATCCCAACAAGAAATCAAGGCATGGGGTTTATCCTCAAAGGGAAAAAAATAAGTTGTCTGAAAATACACACAAAACCATATATCTGGTTTCTTGCTTCTGTCTGCAGGCAAAATGTTATCAAGTGACAGTGGCAATAGCCACGAGAAAGAACAACTAGCATGCTAATGAGGTCGTATTTCCAGGGCCGCTGGAAAAGGTTGTCTTTTGTTTGCATAAGTAACTTTTATTACAGCTGCATTCTGGAAGGGCGTTCTCCCCTCACCTCTGACACTGATGTGTTCCAGGGAAGGCTATCAAGGGTTTATTGATATATAAACAGCATCTCTTTCAACACTGAGCCAAAACGCACCCTCGGTAGGAAGTCTTTCCTAGTGGATCCATCTCCAATCGTTACTTTTTATTTTATACCTTCTCACCACCTACACCATCTACATCTCCGTTATATTCATTTCTGTAGTTTGATGTTCTCCTTCGGAATCTTTGTCGGGCCGTTTCCTTTATACGGTCAGCTCTCATCTAGATCCCAAGCAAATCTCTTTCCACTGTACTAGAGCGAGCAAATCCTGGTTTGGGCTGTGCCACTGGCTGGCTGTGCAATCTTGGATAAGTCATTCCAGCTCTAGAAAAAGACGAGGGTGAGTGAAGTGCTCTCACAAATCACTTCTGCGTATATGACATTGTTTAAGTTCTTCTGACTCTTCCACCAACACCTAGACCAGTCCCCTGTAGACAGTAAGTGCTCAAGAAATGCTTCTTCCGGTCAAGAACATAATCATACTTTTCTTTTGGGGAAGGAGATCCCCTTTGTCTCAGAGAGAACTGCTAGTTCAGACTAAATAGTCATAAATACCGAACTCTAAAATATCAGACTTGTGTGCTCCAGGAAAGGTCAAAAGTGTATTTGGAAGTAAGTGTTAAAGGTTGCAGGATAATTCAGGGCCTCTAGCAGGAGACACCGGGAATCTGAGCTGTTTCTGCCTTGACCGCTAATTCTGAGGCTCCGAGAAACTCTGTGCTGCACCTCTGGGTGCTTCTCTGCAGGAATAATAATAAAAGGCGAAACCTTTAGATTGTGAAATGAAAAGAATTCTTTGCAAGCCAATGAGGTCTTTCTGAGTTTGAAGTGGAAGCATTAATCACATTGGAGGTCAAATGCAAAACAGTACTTTATTTAAAGCCAGAGGAACTTCTATTATGATTGGTTGAAAGAAAAATAAATCCTATATTTTATTTTCCCCTCGAACCCAATTAGAAGCTTAGAACTCTTACGGAAAGGAAGCAAGAAGTTTCTTTTTTTTAAAAAAAATTTTTTTAAGGGATGGGGTCTCACAATGCTGCCCAGATTGGACTTAAACTCCTGGACTCAAGTGATCCTCCCACCTTGGCCTCCCGAGTAGCTGGGATGACAGGCACAGGCCACCGTGCCTGGCTGAAACAAGAAATTTCTGTCTCAATGGGGGTGATATTTCTGGTAAATACAGTCACACCCCACATGACGACATTCCAGTCAACCACAAAGTGCATATGTGACGGTGGCCATCCAGGAAGCTAAGGTTAACTTATTAAAGTAAGAAAATTTTTTTGTAAACTCAGTGTAGCCTAATCGTACAGTGTTTGTAAAGTCTATAATAGTGCATAGTAACGTCCTAGGCCTTCATGTTTACCCACCACTCACCCAGGGCAGCTCCTGCAAGCTCCATTCTTGGTAAGTGCCCCTATACAAGTGTACCACATTTTATCTTATACCCTATTTTTCCTGTACCTTTTTTATGTTTAGATATGTTTAAATACACAAATACATTGTGTTACCATTGCCTACAATATTCAGAGCAGTAACATGCTGTACAGGTTTATAGCCTAGAAGCAAGAGGCTATCACATACAAGCTTAGGTGTGTAGTGGCTACATCATCTAGGTTTGTGTGAGTGCGCGCTACGATGTTTACACAATGTTGAGGTGGCCTAACGACACATCTCTCAGAACAGATCCTTGTTGTTAAGTGACCCAGGACTAGAAAAAAGTGGTTCGAGTGAAAAACTCTGTTTTTATGTATAAAGCAGAGATATACAGTGTACCTGGGTATTAAAATTTCATTGAGGGAAGAGGAAGCTATGTTATGAGTGTACTGTCTGGCTTGAGCCCAGAGAGAAACCATGCCAGGACTTGGTGAGAAATGAACCTTGGCCAACCTGAAGACACTCAAAACTGAAACTCTCTGGAAAATATCATTGCATCAGCTGCCCGGGGTTAGCCGGCAGAGGGAGGGCAAAGGCCACAGGATGGGATGGAGAGAACAGGTTTTGCTGCTTCTGGAAGCTTAAACACAGTCCTCCAAAAGAATTTCACAAGACAAGGGATTTCAGCGGGAATCAATTTACTCTCCCATTACACCGAAACACGAGAGACTTGGTCCCGTGACATCTTCAGGTTCACACAGCAGATGTCTTTCCTCCACCCTAAGAGGTACGCCGTGGGAAGAAGCGTGGCTCCGACCCAACGGGAGGCGGAGCTACCCAAAGCAAGGAAGGACGCACAGCCTTCAGATGAGAACAACGCCCTGAGATTTAGCCTGAGCCA